TATATATATATATATACACACACACACACACACACAGCATTGTGGAGTATTGTTAATGTTTTTGAATGGAAATTCAACTCTAAGTATGTAGTTACGTGTGAAGAGAATACCAAAGAAAGCATATTTTATTTCTTTGGGAAAACATTACAGATTCTCTCTGTTGGAGTCCTATTTATGATTCCGTATGAATATACTTTTGTATGTCAATTTGCATGTGATATTTCTCTTAGAAATTTATATAAAATTATCAATATCTAATTAACATGTTATATATGTAAAATTGTAGATATGATAAAGGATATCAGGATATAATTTTACCTGGAAGCCTGTTTTCATAAATAAGTTGGATATTGTGAATATTAGTTCACAATATTGTTTTTGTAAGTGAATATTGTGATGAATCCAGTTTTATTTTAGACTGTTTTAGGCTTATTTTTATTGGAGTCCTGGAATTGTCAGACATTTCCTAGGGAGGCAACGTAGACCAGGCTGAATTCAGCTCTCATCACTGTCTTGTTATATCAGTAAATTATTAAAAATCACCAATTATGAATTATTTATCATTAGAAAATATATAGGCACCCGCTTTTCAACCTTCCATTGTTGTTCAAGCCAAAGCCCTCATGCACTCTCATATCATTTCTGAAATGCAAGTCACCCTGAATATGATTTAGTGAAAATATATTCAATACGAATGCCTCGAAAAGCAAAATGCATGACATTTTCACAATTACCTTGTGAGTTACGGTCAATTTTTGTACCACACTTGTTAATTTTTTTATGCAGTGAAATGGCAAGTGTATTTATTTTATAACCTCAACCTCACTAAATGGCACAAATTCTTGCTTGGCTAACATGACACAGCAAATGTCACAGCAGTTTGGCCTAGTTGCTGTCATACAGGACAATAGTCTTGTGCTGGGTGCGCGTGATTGGTCTGTGTTCTGTTTAATGATTGGCTGCTGCAGGGGAGCTGCTGTCGAGTATCTGGGAGGTACTGGATCTGCATCTGGCAAAGCACCTCCTCTTTGGGACAGGTGGGACTCCTCTTTCAAACAGCATTCATTTTGATGTACACTCTAAGGATTAACTATAAGGTTTGATCATGCTGATCATTTAGAGACCTTCAAATTCATACACTCTAAAAAATGTTGGGTTAAATATAACCCAGTGCTGGGTTATATTTAACCCAGCATTTTTTAGAGTGTACATCAAAATGAATGCTGTTTGCATTTTAATGTAGTCTACATATCCGTCCTGGGTTTGGAGTATGGGTTTCAAGCGCAGGCACAATTAGTGCTGGAGTTGAAACCAAAATTGCTGGGTGATTAAACCTTAACTGTTGAGATTTATTAAAAGAGCTTAATCACTGTGATCAGAATTGGAACGGAAGCGCTTTAGACTAATGCCAGCCTAAGGTTGTGTTAAAGTGGCAGACAAATGCTTATTTGAAGCAGTCTGGAAAGGATGCTGCAGCAGTTCTTTAAGCTTTCGCCTCTGTTCGACTGACTCCGCAGAGCCATATTTTGCTCATACAGCATTAGGCGTGCTGGACTTGCTGACCTAGAATCTGCTCACAGAAGAAAGCCCAGAAGCAGGGCTCTCTCGGTCAATCATTAGAAACCAAATGAGTTGAGCAGATGAGTTTGGACTGATCTGCAAGGGAAAGAGGGAGCCACACCCCTGTTATTGTGCTGCTTTATTTTCATGGGCGGCACGTGCAAACTTGCACACCCTGACTCAGAATCAGTGAATGACCCAGATGTGCATAGATTGAGGCTGTTTTGCTTTTATTTTAAAGTCCCCCTGTAGTCAAATATTTTATCCCTTAAAACTTCTCTTTGATCATCAAAATTACACATTTAAATGTTTTTTCTTGTGAAAATAATTTTATCATTCCTTAAAATAGCTTGAATGCAACTCTACACCCTTGCCTCATTTACTATACGCTGATCTATGAATATGCAAATTAGTCCCGCCTCCACTCAGTCACACCAGCCAGTGCCTCCTGATCCACTGAACTGTAGTAACCGCAAAACAATGGCATACACGGATAATGACTGATAAAACGATCTTTTTACTAGCGGACAACTACAGTGAATACTGTAACATTCGTTAAAGTTACTTACTTGACGATGTTGTGTCCTAAAATGCCTTGAAGACTCGAATGCAGCCGTTTGTGATTGTTAATTCGAGCCCGCGAGCATACGCGTGTGAAGTGCAGACGCAGCTGCAGGACAGGTGCGTCTGACTCCGGGCTACTTTTACACTGTTGCCGCGGGTTATAATGCAAGTTAGCGGTTCTAAATTCACATTAAACCACAGCTTCATGGGTTTTTTGCTTTAATTTATTTTTGGTTTTGTGCTGGTATTGGTATATTTTGCATGCTAGTGATAGGAATCGATCCCTTGATGTGATTGGTTATTGGTTTGTGACGTAGCAAACCGAGGGCTGTTTCAACTGCTTTAACTAATAAATGGCTTTTAGGTAATTTAGGTAGCTGACATTAAAAATTCAATCAGTTTCAGCAGTTTAGTGTTTGCGATTTTGGTTTAATACAAAGTGTATACATTTGTTTTTAGGGGTGTAACAATACACTGATGTCACGTATCAATACAAGATACTGATCTCTGTTAAAAATGGTACTTTTTAAAAAATGATTACATATGATAAACAGTTAACAAAAAGTACTGTTCATTAAAATCATACATTTGGTATTACATCAGAAATGGACTTCATCCATCTTAGAAAAATACTGTTCAGCTAAAAATACAAAATTATGTTACACACATATGATTGCACTTCCTGACTACATACATTTAAGTTTAAAATAGTGTATTTTATTAAATACAGCATTTTATTAAATAAAGCTCAAATGTGTGACCTTCTGGGTTTACCATATTTGATATGCCATATTTGATGCCAAATTATATATTATATTAATTGACATTTTTAAAAAGATTTCTCCTGAAATAATTTTAGAATTTTTATCATAAAGTTGAAAGAATCTATATAATTGTTATTTTAGTTTATATTGTTTTTCTTTTGTACGTTGACTTATTGAAAGGATATTGATTGAGTTGATTGAGTGATGCAACTGAATTTTTTTTTGCCAAGAATATAGCCATTGATGCTGACATGGCATTAAATCATACATAAATAAATTTGATGCCAAATTAAATATCTCTAAACTTTTATTTGGGTGAACTATACACAGTTCATATTATCACTATCCAATATATATATGTATGTATATATATGAAGAGTTCATTTGCAAAAACCGATAACTCAATTTTTTTTCAGAAATCACGTTTTTTTTTATTGCGCATTCCAAGTAATTTAATTTAATTTAAACTGCAGTTGGGTTGTTTTGATTAAGTAATAATAACTTAAACAAGGTTCATCAAGTTCGTCGAAATGATCCTCAATCACTTTTAGTCAGCTTTGACGCAACTCCTCTCAGCTAGCACGTCTTTTCAGAGTGAAAGTAGCCTTGTCACCTGACCTGAATACAGTGCGCTGATTCGCTAAAATGGACTTATCGGCTTCTGTTCAAAAAACAAGGACGCTTGTCGGCTTCTGCAGTAAAACATGAACTCGCGATGCCTTTAAAGT